CACACCTAGCTAATTTTTTTATTTTTTCATAGAATTGGAGGTTTCACTATGTTGGCCAGGCTGACCTTGAACTCCTGTCCTCAGGTAATCCCAGCACTTTGGGAGGCTGAGGCAGACAGATCACAAGGTCAGAAGTTCAAGACCAGTCTGGCCAATATAGTGAAAACCCATCTCTACTAAAAATAAAAAAAATTAGCTGGGTGTGGTGGTGTGCACCTGTAATCCCAGCTACTTGGTAGGCTGAGGCAGGAGAATTGCATGAACCAGGGAGGCAGAGGTTACAATTAGCTGAGATCATGCCATTGTACTCCAGCCCTGGAGACAGTGTGAGATTCTGTCTTAAAAAAAAAAAAATTAGCCAGGCGTGGTGGCAGGCACCTGTAATCCCAACTACTCAGATACTCAGGAGGCTGAGGCAGGGAGAATCGCTTGAACCTGGAAGGTAGAGATTCCAGTGAGCCAAGATTGCACCACTGCACTCTAGCCTGGGCGACAGAGCTAGATTCCATCTCAAAAAAAAAATTACATATTGGGTGACAGGTGCCCCAAAATCTTAAAAATCACCACTAAAGAACTTATCCATGTAACCAAAATCCACCTGTTCTCCAAAGACAATTGAAATAAAAATATCCTCTTGCCATCTTAGGAGAAGAAGACTTTCTCTATCTATGGACACTACCCAGTGGTGCATGAGGCTCTGTGGAGGAAGGGCTGGGTGGAGAAGAAGTTCCACTTCTTGCCCAGGGTCATTGCCAATGTCAAGGATGGAGGCACCGGGGTTGCTGGTAGGGTATTGGAGGCGTGAGTCTCAGTACAGGGCGTGACTGTCTGCCACAGGCATGAGGCGGGGGAGGGTCCGTGCCAACCTGAGCGTGCTGCCTACCCTCGAGTCCGTGTGTGCATGATGGAATGTCTCTGACTCCAGGTCTCCATCATCCTCCTGGCCTCCCTGCCCCAGGTGGTCATGCAGGGCAAACCCTTTCAAGCCCCTGGCACTGCTCCCTTCTCAGTGTCCCTGTGGCCCCCACACAGGCTGGGCCTCCTCCTGCCAGGGTGGTTTCCATAGTCCTGCTTTGCCCCTCCCAGTCATCCATCCTCCGGCCCCAGCTCCCCGAAGTCCACTCCTCAGGCCCCCACGGTTCCACTGCTCCTCACTGACCATCTGCACAACTGTGTCCATGTCCTCTTGGTGCCAGTGAGACCCAGATCAAATGTCCCCCTCCTCTGCACCCCTGCCCAGGACCCCATGGCCTCCATCACACCCGCCCCCACCCCAGGTTGTCTCCACCTTTCCGCACCTCAAGACATCTGGGCCTCCAGGAATCCTTGGACCCCATGCCCTGTCACAGCCCTGGTGGGATGGCTGTCCTGTGGATGCTCACTGGATGTGTGGGGGCAGCTGGGATGTCCCGAGCCTGACCCAGCACCCACAGAGGCACCTGCTCCGCCAGGGCAAGTTGCTGTCCTGCCTGCGGCGGTGATAATGGAGTGCTGGGGTAAGTCTGGCAGAGGCTCTATGTTCAGCTCTCCCACTGTGTCTCGTTGGCAGATAATAAACCTGCTGAAGTGAAAGAAAATAAAGAAACAGCTCTGGAGAGAATAGAGGACATCCACGATGTGATGGTATATCCCCTTCGTGCATCCTAATCAGCCTCTGCCTCTCCATGGCTTCTCACACCACCACCCTGTTCTGTGCCTACTTGCACATGTCCTGGAGGATGGCAGCCGGTGGGGGCAAAACCCCAGTCACAGCAGGGCCCCTTGACCTGGGGTGGGGCAAGCCCTTCGGTGCTGGATGACCCACTGTGCAGGGGGCAGACCTGGTGTGCCCAGCTCCCTCTACTCACACTGGGCTGGCCTGCCACATGCTCGTGGAAGCTGAGGGCCTTCCGGGCGTGTGTGTTGCAGGCCAGGTCTGGCCAACGAGTGAGCTGGGGTCTCTAGCAACACAGCAGTGTGCTCTCCCACCTCCCCAGCCCAGTCTGGTTCCTCGGGGACACCTCACGCTCCCCGATAAAGAGGGTGAAAGAGAAACCAGAGTGGGAGGTGGCATTTGTAGTACTTACAATTTAAAAGATCAAATATCCAGGATATGTAAAGAACTCACAAATCAGTAATGATAGGCAAGCAGAAAAATGGGCACAGACTTGATTGGGAGCCTCCCCCGAGGCCAGCGAGCTCACTTTTCCAAGTTCCTGGAGTCAGTGCCGTTTCCACAGACCCCGTGAGTGCTCCAGTGGCTCTGCAGGTCCCGGAAAGAACATTCCTCACTGCTCTGGAGGCTGGAGGCCAGGTCAGGGGCAGCATGGCTGGGCTGGTGAGGGTGCCCTGCTTCACAGACAGCTGACTTCTTTCTGCATCCTCACACGGGCAAGGGTTTTTCTGGGGCCACTTTATAAGGGCCTCATGCTCACAACCTAAACCTAGAGCCCTGCCTCCTATGCCATCACCTGGGGGTGAGGACCGCAACACATGCATTTCGGGGGGACAGAAACATTCTGCTCACTGGGTGTGGAGGAGAGAAATGCAGGTGGCAGTTACCTGATGGGTGTGACTGGGGGGACTTTGGTTCTGTTGACGATGCTGTTTCTCACCCCAGGATGCAGTGGTTAGTGATTAGTGGTTAGTATGCTATTATTTACACTTTTATATTTTTCTTTTCTTTTCTTTTTTTTTGAGACAGAGTTTC